AAGACCACATCAACATTGATCCCTCTTGGTGGATGCGATGGTGGTCAATCGATGGTATCTTATCTGATTTGGGGCAATGAGACAAGAAAAGACGCGAAGGAGAGGTCTCGAGTGTGGAGACTTCATCTTCCTCAAGGGCACGAGCTATCTTCATCACCAATCACATCACCTGCTTGTGACTTGAGACTCCACATCATCGACGAGAACTTCAACTTCAAGGAGGTTCTGGGATGGACCAAAACTTAGGAGCCAGCGTCCAGCTAAAGACGTAAAAGAAGCGCTTGTGGGGAGGCATCCCCACCATGGTTTGTTTTTCTTTTGTTTTTTTGTTTTTTTTCCACTCGGAACTATGGTTTCTATCACCTTGTGTGTTTTGATGACTCTAGCTCTGTGCCTTTGGACTGGTCCCCTTCCAGTCCCCTCCTCTTGACTGGTTTGTCTTCCAGTCACCGTTCCCGGTCATCATTTCACGGTAACATCGTTTCCCTTCCCTCTTATCCATTGAGGGCAATATCGAACTTAAGTGTGGGGGTGCTTTGTATTTATTGGAACATATGTTTTGTGCTTGGAGCATAGTCCGCTGTCCAAATCTTGAGATTTGAGGGCTCCAAGTACTGGTGTTTGCATGATCATATGGGCACTATGGTTTATGTGGTGAATCGAATGGTTGTTCAATTGATGCATGCCAACTTGATTGTGACTAGGACAACCTATAATGATGACTGAGACGTGCATTAGAGTTTTGTAGGGTTCAGTTTTTCAACTGTTTGCTTACCAACTGCGATTTGGATTGATCACTTATTTTTTACAGTCATTTATGCATCTAGTTCAGGGAATCAAAATGATAGACAGAGCATATAGGTAGCCATGTGAGATTTGAGTCTACTCGTTTCTTTCGTGTGTGATAGATCCCTCTTCCATTATGTGTAGCATTCACGTTGCCACTAGTTAGGATGATGGAGGCATAGGATTATCCCATGACCAAATTGATTGTACTGGTGTCATACCCCCAAGTCAGCCCCTTTAAGCCATGTAATTTTCTTTCTTTCGGTCTACAATGAAAAATCACCCTTTTTGCATCTCTTAGAGGTTCCACAAAGTGGTTTTTGCATGTTTTCTGCTATTCTCTATTGGAAATAAGATGAGGGTTGGAGGTAGTTCTTAAAATTGGGCATGTGATTGCAAGGATAAAAGATGTATAAAAGGGGTGGTTCTCTTAAGAAAAAAAAAAGAAGAAACAAATAAATGTTAACAAAAGAGAGCCACTACTAAAATTTGAATCATGCTCATTAAATAGTGTTTCTTAGCAGCTTGGCTTAGAAATACTAACACGTTGTGACCTCCTTCACTCTTGTGCTCTAAAGAACGTGATTAATGCAGAATGGCAGGAAGAAAGTAATTGGTTTGAATGATTGTGACTTTGCTGGGTTTGGAACTGTGGAACCTTGTGTTATGAATACTTCCATCACCTAAAAGGCATTTTCCCCACGTCCAGGACCCTAGCCAGTCATCTGAAGTCATGTCTAAGACCTCCTTATTAGTTAGTGGTGACACCCGATATGTGAAATCTAACATTTAGAGGATGCCGTCATGGTGAAGAGACATTAGGGATTGAGAGAATAAGCATGCGCATTTTTCGCATCAAATTGTCCTTACCCCACTGGTCGAGAGTGAGCGATTCATTTCCTTATATTCTCTACACTCTTTACCACCGTGAGGACCTAGATTGCTCGGTCTTGATTCTGATGTCTTGAGTTTCATGCATGAGGTGACTGTCTTGAATAAGTAGTTGAGTCAAGTCTATGTTGGTTGGTGAAAAGAAGGGAGATTCTTCCTTTACCCGATTTTGCTGCACTCGAATGTCATTTGTGTTGGTGATCTAGATTGTCGTTGAGATTGTTCATGTGTTGATGTCTAAAAGCCAATATGATTCACGTGTTGTGTGCCCATATGATATTTCCCCAAGGTTTGCATGATTAAAATGTTTTGAGCTTACCTTGTATCTGACTTGGTTTGCTTGGGGACAAGCAAACGGTTAAGTGTGGGGGAATTTGATAGCACCATATTTGCAAAAGTTTGCACACTTGTTTCTTAACCGTTTTGGCTCCAATTTGTGGTGTCTTGGCCTATTTTACGCTAGGTTGTGTTATTTTTTCATATTTGAGGTCCTAGTGAGAAAACGGAGGCATAGGCGCAAGTTTCGGGTCAATCAGAGGTCGTTTGGTCACTCAAAAGCCTCTCAAAAGTGGAGCTGAGAATGAAATATGGGCCGACTCCCTAAAAATACGGTCGTAATTCACAAATTACCGCCTGTTATCCCTAAATTACGACCGTAATTCACAAATTACTGCCGATATTTTTTATGTCGAGCCTTGTGATGGATCAAATACAAAATACCGGTAGTAAAAAATACGGCCAGTATTCCCAAAAATACGATCGTATTTAGTAGTGTCTAGCCCGTAATTTCACTGTCGAGAGGAGTCTTGGATGCGCTGAGGCTTAAGTAAAACGCGCGTTTTGGGAAAAATACGGGCATGAGTGAATTACGACCGTATTTCGGCCCGTATTTAGCCCAGAATCGGGTTTAAAGAGGCAGAATCGAGCCAAAGGAAGGGGATACGAATTTTTGAGCAAAAACATAGTTCTAGAGAGAGAAAGTGCGAAGAACAAACCATAGGATCTATTTGGAGTGGATTTCTCATCATTGAAGTCCAGATTGCATCCCCAGGAGTGAAGATTGACATCCCAGAGCAGATTTATGAGTATGACTGCGTTGAATTCTGTTTTCTTCTCTCTCTCTCTCTCTATGGAGTAGACCTTCTCTCACTTGGGTATGAATAATCCTAGTTTCATGTGTTAGGGATTTGAGTTTTAATGACTTTTGGATTGATATACTGCTTGGTTATAATCAATTGAAGTGTGTTTATTGAGTCAATTCAAGCCTGATCAACTTTTCTTGATTTCTGCTGCAACCTGAGATAGATAGAATTTGATTAGGTTGTTAGAGCTTCTTCAATTGATAGGAGTGGATTGATTATAGGAGAGTTAGTCGATTCACTACTTTGTACTGGAATCCAATTCCAGTAGTGGAGTTATGTGTTAATTGCCTCAGCAGTTTATCCGGATGAAGGCTAGTTGCCTGCCGGTTGGTTTGTCTGAGAGGGCTTGGTCAGCTTAAGAGATTCCATACTACTTTCGGAGCTTCCACAGTTTAATCAACAGTAAATCAACCAAAGAGAATTACAACTTGAACCTAACTAAGGAGGTAGGGAGATTCATTCCCGAGTGACTCTTCCCTTGCTTAAGAACTTCGAACCATTTCCTGCTTTCTTACTGCTTTTGTTTGCAATCACTCTCACTACACTTAGTCCCGCTAGATAACAGGTAGTCACAGAGTAGGCAGTAGATCTGGACTCCGGGTTGATAAATTGAGCTTGCCACTATTCTACATTTCCATTATGCGATTGCACTTAGTCGCAACCTTGTGTTGTGTTTTAGCGTGTAACAATCTTTCATGAAAATACCTTCAAATTCACATTAAAACACATCCACACACAAATCATTCAATCCATAGAAACATTCACATAATTGTACCTAGGGTTTACAAACATCCAAGTGAAATAAGGGACTACTCCATGCTAGGAGAAGGGAAAACACGAGAGAAGAAGGAAAACCCATCATGGAGATGTGAGCAATGCTCATTGTGTGAGGAGATCCTCCTTTGGTGAAGGAATTCCCAAATCCTTGTTTGAAAATGAAATCCTAACTGCTTCTCTTTTTTGGTTCGTCACTTTCTCACTATAGAAATCTAAAGAAGAAGAAGTTTCTCACACTAGGTCTCTCCCTTTTCTCATTCAGCTAAAAACCCCTTTTATACCCAGGTCGAGCTCACATCACGGTCCCTGTTCACGGCCGTGAACTCAAGGCGTGTACCGTGATCTCAGGGCAAAACGCGTCGTCTCATCAATTCAGTTCACGGTCTGCGGCTTGGGTTCACCGTCTTACGACAGTGAACTAGCTTGAGACCAATGAAAGCAAAAATGTCCCTGAAGGCCTTGATGTTCACGGCTTGCGACTCCAGTTCACGGTCGCCATGACCGTGAACTAATGGCTTTCCCCGTGATCTGCAACTGCCTCAATCCTTTGACACGATTTTTGCCTTTTCTTCCAACTTTCGACTTCGGGGTTGGTTCCACCTGGTATAGACTAAAATGCACAAAATCGAGACAAAACCCAGCGTAAAACCAAACCTCTCGGAGTAAAAAATGCATCAAAAGACTAAGGAAACCAGGGGTTAAAAGTGTACAATTGAGCCCGAATCAGTCATGCTGCGTCTGCATTCATATCGCCAATCCACCGTTTTCAGGCGAGACTCCCAGAAGTTGGTGGCGCGATATTTCGGACCATATTGCGTTCTTAAGCGCATTGGGGCGGTTTCTTATCGGCTCGTGCTTCCTCCTATGGCGAAAAATCACTCTGTTTTCCATGTGTCTCTGTTCAAGAAGTACGTGGGCGAGGTCGAAGCACAACAGGTGTCGGAACCGCAAGTCGCGGACGATGGTAGCCTCGATTTGACTCCACTGCAGGTTCTTGACCATCGTTGGTCTAGGCGAGCTGACCGGGTTGAGGAATGTTTGGTACAATGGCAACACTTGCCGATGGAGGAGGTGCTCGAGATTCGAGATCGCTTCCCGACCTTTGACCTTGAGGGCAAGATTGAGCTTCAAGAGAGGGGGTGGGGGGGAATGACGCGTACATGGCAGTTCTGCGCCATTCCTCTTGACAGCCCAAGCTCAACCCAAAGTACCGTGAGTTATCTGCATGGCCACGTTCGACCGTTTGACTCATTATCGTTTTCCTTTCTGTTTAGTTTGTTGTTTTTTTCTTTCTTTACGTCGGTTGTAAGGACTACTATATATTTGATTGTTATGGAATAAGAGAAGTAGAAGAAGAAAACCCCTAAAACCTAGTTTCATGCGTCATTCCCTTTCAAAAATTCTTGCTTGGATTCACTTTTCAGATATGATATGATACGGTACATCTTCTGGTTTGGCACAGTGCTGGCCTGCCAAAGGAAAAAGGGAACAGAGAGCGCCTGCAGGCCGCAGGTGGCAAGAATAGATGAGACGAGAGAGATGCGAACCAGGAACTCTCCTCTCTTGTCATATTCTCGATTCCGTCCAACCTAAAATCCAAAGCTACCTATAACACTGCTAGTGACTCCTCTTTCACCTGACCGGTTCTTGTTACAGACCTTCCAAACCCCATACATCTCTGCAAAACCATTATTACTACAAGGCAAACATATTCGCATCATTAGTTCACTACTATCTATGTCAACAAGGATGAACCTGTCCTGTCAGGGGCTTGTTTCTGCTTCCTCCAACTTTTGGGTTGAGACAGAGAAATCAACTTCACATGCAGATATCATATTTGATGTTCCCTTTCCTAACACTCTTCTTCTTCATCTCTCAAACAGACATAACCACCTCGCAAAAAAGCAGCTCCTCCTCCCAACTCTTACCCTACCAACAGACACAAAATATAAACGGCTATCCCTGCGCCAAAATAAAAAAACATGGACACATCAACAAACTCTGTTGCCAAGCCACCACGGTGGGTCAATTTGTATGCAAGTGTTGTAGACTTGTAGTTATGTATACAAAATGTTATTCCGAATAACCCAAGTCCTCCATCTCTCTTTCCGAACACCCACCCACACATCTCTAACCAAACCTATCATTCGCCTCACTCATCAGTCATCACCACCACTACTACTCCCCTACTACTCCTCCAAAGAGACGCCAAAATATTCAAAATAAAAAAAAGATCTTCTAACTACCCTTCCTACACTAACTTAAACCAGCTGACCACTGCTGGCTGGCTCCTCCCTTTATACACTAGCTCATCCGCTTTTCTTGTACAAACAAACCTCAGAAAGAATTCACCTTGTTTCCTTTTACTCCAACACTGCCCAGCTTCCATTAGTTCGTCCACCAATCCAACAAACATGTCACATAATAGATTCTATCAAATTACCACACCATACCATCTCAAATGCAATCAATCCACCACCAGAACAGACTGACCCAGTTATCATACCGCATCTTTTCATCCATTCTTGTGCAAAACACCTCCAGAATCCTCTACCCCGCCCCGCCTCGAACCTGTAATGCCAGAATCTCATCCACAATGGTTCTGATCACGCTATGGATATAGTACTATGAGTTACCATCCTCCGAATAACTCCCAGAAGAGCTCCCTGAGTCGGAATCTGCATATCCAAGTTACAGTTAGTGTTTTCAGCAGCACAAGGTGGGCATCACAAAACCCACTCCTTTCATTCCCAATCATAGGAGTTGTGTTATACCACTGGAGGAGGAAGAATCATCGCTGGAACTACTGGAGCTGCTAGAACTACTACTGGCATGGCCATTGTCCTTCCCTATCTCCACAGGCGGAAAGCTGCTCATTGGCATTTCATCACCTATGTCCACGTCTTCTTCGACAGCATCACCTTTCTTTGGCTTCTTTGCCTCATATTCAATGCCCATTCTCTCATTGACGGGCAATTCCTAACATACAATAAAACCCAAAACCAAAGTCGCCAATTAGACCATGCACCACAAAGAAAAATAATTGGAATAAAAATAACCCAGTTGGCATTATAACTGATAATGAAAAGTCAATGTACCTTGTTGCCTTCACTAGTAGCAGGAGCCCCAATATTGCCACCCATTAATGCTTGACGCCTAATCTTGCTCGCCAATTTCTTGTAATTGGTGACAAATCGATCAAGCTCCCATAGAGTTTCTGTATCAACAGCTTCAATGTCCAGCTCAATCTCATCTCCATCTTGTCTCAAATGGCCATTCCTCTTCTAAATAATTTGAACAACCTGCTCCATCTTCTCCGGAGGCAAATTCTGCAACCCTACACCCAATTTATGCTTCTCTTCTAGGTTCATCTCCCTCTTATTAGGATCCTTTGCCTTGGGCTTCGGAAGCTTAACAGGCTTCATTGGTGGAACCCTTCTTGGTGATGGGGTCCTCACAGGAAATTGTGAAGTCGAGTGAGGGTTAACGTTTTGGCTCGATCCAGTAGCAGGAGGAGCCACTGAGTTACCAGTTTGCTCGGATTTAGCCATCACTTGCATAACATCCCTTGGTTCTTTGGATGCCCTTTCAGTCTCCACCAATCCCCGTGGTTGTGATCCCAAGAGCTCGCTTGTACTTCTAGCACGTGCTCTTCATCTTTCTGGATCTCGTCAACAAGCGAATCCTTGATGGGCCGGTACGAGTCTTCAAATTTGGCAAGTAACTCATCAGCAAAAATATATACATCGTGACCCTTAGGATTGTACCTCATCGCGTTGTTGAAGGTCAGTCTCACATCGGCAGCAAAATCCTGCGGCGAATCATAGAGGTTTCTCGCCAATTTCTTTTTCACCGTACCCAAATCCATGGGCACTTTGATTATGTCGTGGTAATCATGAAGCTGCATTCCAACAACGTCCACAGGAGCATTGAATATGTGCCCGAACTTGTGTTTCATCAATTTGGACAGGATCTGGACGCACTTCTTCATCAATTGCGAGTTATCTGGGTGTTGCGCTCTCTTGAAATCTTGGGCCCCAAAAGTCGAATCTGTAACGGGGAAAGGCCTCTTGCTTCCCAGTATCTTCTTGTTACTGTTTGGGCCACCAATTAGTTTCTTGTTGTGAAAATTTGAGCTGGATCTGATCTGAAAATCAGGCGGCAAGTCGATGCGGCTCTTCAATTGATGAATCTGCTACAGCTCAGCCACAAATCGATCCTTCAACTCCACCAGCTCCTTTCTCGAATAGGAAGAGATGTTGAAAGTAACGAAGCCTGCTGTGTTTAAATCATTAGGTCTCCGATTGATAGAAGACGCGTCATCAGACGCAGCGGACTGCGTGAAGGCTGGAGATTCGTCGAGATCCGCCAAGGGTAACGCCTGAAGGTGCCGCTTCTTTGAGAATTTAGGGTTTGGGTTAGAGTTAGACAAAGGATATTTGCCCATTAGCTTCGCAACGCCGACCGGCTGTGGCTGCATCCAGTTCGGTTCGCTCCTATTAGCTAGCACAGCTGACGCCATGATTCCGGTAGAATCCCGGGAGAGCCCCGGCGGCAGAGGTTTCCCAATTCAGGTGACCAAGAACACATGAATTACAGATAGCGTGAACGCCACGCGCCTCCTAGGTCTGAAAGATGTCGGGTCGGGGGAACAATCCAAGGGAGGACGGAACCACCGCCGTGGTTTAGGGTTTCGTGGCGGGAGGGGGAAATAGGGAGAAGAATGGGGATTGGGAACTTTTCCCTGATAAGAGCGATTATGATAGGAAGAGAGCAGCCTCATTATTAAAGGCAAAGAGATATGATCGGAAAGACAATGGGCAGGATCTGAACCGTAGACTCAAATTTCCAACTCCAATCTCTGCCCGTGAATAACACCACCGTGACCAGACAGGGACGGCGTGGATCAGAGGTTTGAAACACGTGGTGGGACTAGGGACCGTTAAATGGGAGAGTAAGAAGTTATCTCTTCTTTTGATTTTTTGTAGTGATATTTTTTAAGATAATTTTTTAGTTAAATGGTGTTCTTGTTTTAATTTTTTTCAATGTTGAGAGAATCAAATTGAAGTATGAATCAGTGCAATGAGTGGTTCGTTATAGTAAACATGCATAAATTGGTCAACAAATTGATATCATATAATAAGCTAAACATAAGTTATTCATATGATAATGACATAATATAAATATAATAATGCAATCTCGAAATTTTGAAAGGAATAACATTTTTTTATTGAAAATGTAACCAAACAAAATTTTTAAATAAATTAGTATAAATTTTAATTTAATAATTTAGCATAAATGTATTTAAAAAATGTTAATTTATTTTTATAAATTACTATAGAGTTAATCACTTTTATTTTAAAAGATTCATAATATATTTTTTTTTTTAGGAATCTGTGGTGGTTTCATTCAATACCATCCCAGAAAAATTACTAAGGTCTATTTTTTTTTGTAGAAAGACGGCCGGCAAGCGACCAAATCACATTAAAATAGACCGAGTTTGGGTGATACCCAATACATCAAAAGTAGTCCAGTGACAGAGATTCACGCCACTGACATCAAAATAATGCGATCCAAAAGGATAGCTATGACCCTTGTTCGCAAGAAAGTTGGTAGCGACATTGCTTTCCCTATTAACATGATTAACAGAAATATCCCAGTCCCGATCAATAAGCTGACCAATTTGGCTGGCTGCAAGCCCATGCCTGACATTCAAATCAGATCCGCCTTTGATAATTGCGATTGCTGTGGACGAGTCCAAGTTCAGCTCCACTTTCCTGTATCCTCTTGTCCAGACTCTTTTCAATCCTTCAGTCGCTCCACGAAGCTCGGCGCGGGTGACCGAGCAGGATCCCGGGTTGCAGACAAACGCCTCCACACAGTGTCCCAGATGATCTCTCAACAACCCTCCTGCTGTTGCTTGCTTCGTGTTAGGGTGCACTGAGCCGTCAGTCTGCACTTGTATCCAGCCTTCCCTGGGGGGCCTCCATCCGACTTCAACATTTGATCTTCTCGTACAGCAGTCCGCTGTGCTCTTGGCCACGTTTTCCTTGACTTTCTCAACAATGTTCTGCCAGGCGAGAGTCTTCTGAATCAGTCCAATCTCAGAAAAGCCTTACCATCCATGGCCTCTTCGTTCCTTTGCTTCCATGTAAGCCAGTAAAGGATCCCAAAATTAACACCATGGATATCCTGATGGAGGTTCTTCGCCAGCCACTCCTGGAAATTGCTCCCATCATCATTGAAGCAAATGATGCTTCTGAAGAACCTTCTGACACCATTCGTCTTTCTACAATGGCGAAGTATGTGTTCAGCAGTTTCCTCCACATCTTTGCAGAAACTGCAGGCTCCATTCGTTGCAATCCTCCTCTTGACCCTTTCATTGTTTGTAAGAAGCTTGTTGTGAGTCACCAGCCAAAGAAAGTGCTTGATGCGGTTAGGCCCCTTCCATTTCCAAAATGCTTCCCATATCTTAATAGGTTCTTCGTCGATGCTGTCAGTAACCAGCTGGTAAGCTGATCTCAGTCTGAATTTCCCATCCGCTTCAATGCCCCAAATGGTTAAGTCTTCACCAAGCTCCGGATCAGGCGGATCCATACCAGCAATCAGTGATAGGATATCCACTGGGAGTAGCCCTCTAAGTCTCGGCCAATCCCAATCTCCCTCGTCATTGATCCAGAAGGCGACCGGTGACAACCTGTCCTCCTCATTGAGATCAGCCAGCAGGTGTTCTTCGAGAATGATGTTATTATCCAGCCAAGGGTGTGTCCAGAACCCTGTTGATCTCCCATCTCTAATGCTCCAACTAGTGGCGCTCTTCATCAGTGGCAAATCTCTCTTAATCGCCTTTCACAGGTTTGAGTGGTTGCTGGATTTCATTCCAACAATACTCCCCTCCTTGTGCTTGAAATACTTCCCTTGCAACACCTGCACCCACAAATCACTTCCATTGTTAAGCAGTTGCCATGCAAGTTTGATCATGTATGATGTATTCATGCTCCTAGCAGTTTTCAGACCAAGCCCACCTTGGTCTTTTGGTTTACAGATTTGTTCCCAAGAGACCAGGTGAACTTTTCTTTTCCCCACTTGAGACCCCCAGACAAACCACCGAATCTTCTTATCGATTTCATCACAAACAGACACAGGCAGAAAGGTAGTTTGCATAGCATAAGACGGAATTGCGTTGAGCACCGAAACAGCAAGAGTAACTCTGCCAGCTAAAGAGAGTGTCCTAGCTTTCCATGCGTTAGGTTTCTTGTCCATTTTTTCCAGAATATACTTATAGGTGTCACGAGTCATCCTACCATGGAGGACGGGCACCCCTAAGTATCTCCCAAGATCATTAGTGGCTTGAATGCAAAGCTTGTCACAAGTCTCCATTTTCTCCCTAGCTCTAACATTTTTTGAGAAGAAAACACGAGACTTATCCTTACTTACAAGCTCCCCCGAAGCCACACAAAAATTTTCCAAACACTCGACAATCACCTCAGCTTGTTTAGTGTTAGCTTCAGCAAACAGCACAAGATCATCGGCAAAGAACAAGTAAGAAAGAGCAGGTCCCCCTGCTGAAAGTCTAATTGGATTCCATCTACCATTATCCACATCGATTTGATAACTGAGGTAGCCTCTTTCTCGCTTATCCTGGGTTCAAAAATGAAAACAATGTTCGGTGAGTGTTGACTCTTATATAACTCGAAAGTAGACAGAAACTTCGGGTGTTTAGCACCCCTACAATTCCAAGAGAGGACTTTAATCATTAAAAGAATGAGAAAAGAAACTCCCCAAGCCATGACCAAGAGGTCAAAGGACAAGGCATCAGGCAAGGTCAATGGCCATAGCCACTAAACTCTGCCATTTTTCATCGCTCCCTACTGAGCTCTTCTTCTTTTTTGGATCCAAAGATTGAGCCTTGACCTCTTCCGTTTGAGTTGCAAAGTCAATCTTCCTTGAAATGGTTGTCCCATTCTCCAATTTCTTGGTGTCTTGTCGATCAGGCCTGGAACTCTCATTTAATGGAGGGGCAGCCTTTCGAGGATTGTGAGTTCCTTTAGACTTCACATCAGGTGGTTCGCGCTCCTTGTTACTCCTTTCCTAGTTAGTAACGTTACTGAGAGCTTGTCCTGATGTTGTGATTGGTTTGGTGATCTACCAGGAGGGTGGGTTTCCTTCTCCTTTCCCTTGCCTCCAGCCACTGGCTTCGAAGAGCTACTTGTGGTCTTCAGTAAAATGGGGTCTGGGGACCCTTTTTGGTGCTCCTTCCTGCCTTGTTCAATCTTTTTCTGGTTCTTCCCTTGTGTGCTTTTCCTTTTCTGGCTTTCGATTTCTTTCTTCTCTTCAGTTCTTGGCTCTTGTTTGTCTTCTTTTTGATTTCGCTGATTGCTGCGAGTTGTTAGCACAGCAGCACTATCCTGATTTTCCCCCTCACACCGCTGTTCAAGATCACCACTAACAACATTCTCACACTCCTCTACGGTATCCTCTCCGAGAGCAATGAATCTTGATCCCTTTACTTCCTCTTTGTTTCTTCCAGCCTTCTTTGTCCACTCCATGTTCAAATTTTTATTCCTGTTGTAGTTGCTCTTTCTTTTCGTTCTTGTAGCAATCATCCATGGCCCATAGTCCTCAAGTACTTCCGGCCTGATCTCCTGGCTGCTCTTCACTTGTTCTTCCTCCATCGTTCTCTGTTCCGGCTTTGCACTTTCCTTACCAGCCAAATAAGGACACTTCTCCTCCAAATGACCATAGCGACCACACTCATAGCAAATAGTATGGAGACCTTCATACTAAACCCTCCTTACCCTTCTCTTAAGTCTGTACTTAGGTACTAGCCTCTTGCGAAGATCAATTTCAACACAGATTCGGGCGTAGTTTCCCCTAAATCCATTCGATGAATTATAGTCGATCTTGATAACCCGTCCCATCTTGCTACCGATGTTCTCTAAGATTTCTTCATCGAAGTAAGCCATTGGCAGACGGGGAAGCCTAACCCACACAGTAGTCTTGTAAATTTCATCAAAATCAGGATCGAAATCAAGTCTCCATGGCTCAGAGACAATGTAGTGATCATCCACCGTCCAAGGGCCACCGTGGAGGGCTCGCTCATAGTCCATTTGGGAATCAAAGATGGCTTGATAATATCCATTCCTAATGTCCCCAATCTTGATTCCACCTGACTTTGCCCACATCTTCTGCACTCGTCTATGGATAAAAGCGAAGGGAAAGATTTTACCTAGGATTCGGAAGGTAATCGCCCTTCTCCAGCGGTTACGAACTCTGGCATTCGTGCTTTTCTTCACCCTGATTGTGGGACAGAAAGGGTCATCCTCCCCCTCATCCATGTCAGATTCGTCGGACATCAACTCGTCTCCCGCATGAATCTCCTCCGGGGGGTCATTTCCGAGGAAATAATCTTTATACGACACTTTCGATCTCTCCGTCATGTTTGGCATTCCAGTACTGAGAGGGGCCCCCGAATTCTCGAACCCAACTTGGTCTTGTTCCTCTCCGTCGTTCCCCGAACTC